TTTCTTTGTGATTATTTCACTGTTCTGTGGTTTTATTTGGAGGACTGACTCTAGAACAGCTGCAGAACTTTACTGAAAGGGAAAATTCCCAATGAAGAAACTATTTTCCCTGTGAGCTGGAATTATTTGAGCATAATTACTAAATATGTTTTGCATTTTTATGGTTCATATTTAAACATAATAACACCATTTTGATGCGAGCTGATGATGTGTTCTGTACATACATGACGTTTCAGAGTTTTGTACCATCTTGTTAACAGTTTTATTTCATATTAATAAAGATTGATCTTTAAACGCAGCTTTTGTAAATTCTGCTGTTTTTTTTAAACAAAAATCTTCCAAAATAAACTAAAGTTAGAACAGAAACAAACAGAAGCTTGGACTTGACGTCCAAAACGTCTTTGTTTTATATTGAAGTGATATCAGCTGAAGTTTAACTGATGCCAGGCTGTATGGAGGACCACAAGAGCCACAGTTAATGAATTGTAGAATAAAATCTGCATTTGTAAATTCATTTTTGAATCCCACTTTAATAAACTGCATCTCAACTCCAGAGAATACCACCTGGTTCAACGATCTGTTCATCTGATTATTGGGAAAACCGTTTTCTTCTGAGAGATGCTGCTAGAGCTGAAATTGAGCCCAAAGAAACAACAAAGTTTAGTTCCTCTGGATTTTCCATGGAAAATTGTTTTATCACTCAACCAGGTGACTTCTCCAGTGTCACGGATGAGTGATGAATGTATCTCCCACTGGCTCTGGCTTTTTGTTCTCATAAAGAACACAAAAATATAGCAGTCTAACAACACTGTAACAGAGATGAACCGTTTGTCACAGATCAAAGTGGAATGAAAGTGATTGGTTGAACAGGTGTGATCTGTGTTTTCATCAGCAGATTAGAATAACAGTTATGTTATTAGAATAACATTTATACATTTAATAAATCACCAAATGAATCCATGCAAGAAACGATCAAACCTGTTCGGACAGTTTGAGTTTGTGTTCCAGCTGCAGACTCGCTGCTGTTTAAATGTTTGAGAGGAAGATTAGATATAAACAAACGTCACACAGACTCAGTCTGCGTTCACATGTGATATGAGGCCAGCACGTACAGTGTCTGTGTCCTGTTTTAAGATCATACATGTAAAATTGTTGTCTGTTTATGTTTGTCGTTGCAAAAGACCTGTCTGACTGTCTGACTGGTTAACTGATGTTAACTTGGATAAATGATAGTTAAGGAGTATCACAGATAACGCCCACGGAGCTGTGTGACTGTTCACACTACACTGAAATCAGTAGGCTATGACTGAAATACACGTGCTGTGTCATAAACTATGATATAAA